TCTGAAAAATACCGTTTAGCACCCCCTTCACTGAAGGTCTGCCGTGACAAATTGTTTCTGTTCGTCAGCAAACATCCTTATTGTGTCCTAATTGTTTGAGTCCTTTTTTTAATATATATACAGAATTTTAACAGTTACTTTTCCTTCTGTGGTTTTAAATATGGGATTTCATTGTCTTCCGAATTTTACTTCTATTGAAAGTCAACGGTAAGCCTTACTGTCGCTTCTTTCAAGGTGAATGTCTTTTTTTTCTCTTTTTAGCAGTTTTATGACGATGCACTTGGAAGTGATGTCCTCTGCATTTATGCTGGGGGACTGTCACAGTGTTTCTCGAACCTGTGTCCGTGACTTCATGCTGTTCACCAGATTTATAAAATTCTCTCTCTCTCTCTGTCTCTCTCTCTCGTCTTTGCTCATCAGAACATTTCTACTGACCTATATTCCAGCTCACCTCTCCTAATCTGCTTGTCCACCCATTTGTTATATTCCTAACTACAGTCATTCTGTTATTCAGCCCTTGACTTTCGCTTGGTTATTCTGTACACATTTTAATTCCCAGCGGGATCTTTCCATCCATCATGACACCCAGTTTCTTGCCTCTACGTCTTACCATTATTTTAAAACCCCTTATGGAAGTTCCAGTGTCTGGATCACCCCTGGGTCTATTTCTGCCCCCTTGGCCAGGGGTCCCAGCTTCTGGTGCGTCCAGCGATTTCTGACTGAACGCCAGACAATGGCCATGAAAAGTTATGATGACTCTGGATTACGTTAACTTCCCCCAGAGAGGATTTATTTTGCTTCATGTAGGCAGTTGAAGTAAGGGGAGCTGATCTTAATCCAGCCTGACACTGAACTATATTTCAAGGCTGATTTTTGAATTTCTGTGAGGGTTAATCCATTTTTAGGTCACCCTTATTTTTAGCCCCTGACCCTCTGGGAACTGCAGCTAAAACCCTGAGTGTGTATGGGCCCAGGTCCCTCCCTTGGCAGGTCCTGAAAACTGCATTTTTGTCTCTCCTGAGTAAATGCACAGTGAGACGGCTGAGAGCCCTCGTCGGCTGGTTCATCAGCCTCTTCGCTGCCACCATCTCTTCAATTCCTCAGTCTTTCGACTGCTACGATTAGTTGGGAAATACTTCAAGGAAAACAGGAGAAACAGTGACGCAGAATGCTGGCCTCACTTCCATGCTTTACCCTCCTCTCTGGGTTTTTAATCTCAGTCCCTGCTGCCTGCATAACCCTGAACTCCAATTCTGACCTTTCCAGAGCTGGTGGACTTTCAACACCTCTGACCTACTCTGTCCCCCTCTCGGCCCTGGCTCAAAATCAGCACACGCCTCGAGTCAAAAAGTGGTTCTGAGTACCAGGAACGCCCAGCGCGTGAATGCATGTCTGTTCTGTGGTGGGTTACAGATACCCACACACTCTCTGACACTCCTCCCACGAACAGTGAGGTCTGCCCTCGAAGCCGGGCAGGTTCTGAGACTGCCTGGACCTACAGATTATGGCTAAAATGCTGTTCTGTCATGCTCCAGGCCCAAGCCTTAAGAGACTGGCAGGTCCTACTTCCTGTCTCTTAGGATAATTGCTTTGGAGGAAAAAGATGTTTTAAAAAAAAAAAAAGTCTGGCTACCCTAAAACCACCATGCTGTGAGGAGGCCCAAGCCAGCCACATGGGAAGATGCCATCCATGGTGTCCCCCAGCCAAGGAGCCAGACACGAGTGTGCAGGAGGCTTTGATGACACCAGCCTTGACCACCATCTGCCTACAGTGGACTCCAAGCAAGAATGACCCAGCTGAACCCATCAACTCCAAGAACCATGAAGGATGACGATAAATTATTGTTTTAAAACACTGGTTGACATGTCTGTAATAGGTAACCACACATCTTTCCTTCAAGTTTTGCTTGCCTTGTAGCCTCTCCAGGGTGATGTGTGTGTGCGTGCATGTGTGTGTGTGTAAAATATTCCATGTCACTGCTTGACCTTGGTCAAAGATCTAGTCTAATTCGAGACAGCCTATCACCCAGCGAGAAATAGCAGTCACGCCCATTAAAACCAAGAAAGTCATTCTCTAAGCCTTAAATGCAAACAGCAACTCTGGCTGAATCCAAGTACCACAGACAGCACCTGGGAGCTGGTCTCCTCCCTCATGCAGGCCTCTCATCGGTTAACTCATCTGAGACACACTTTCCAGCCATCCTCTGCTGAACAACATCCTGGGTCAATTCCTATCCTCTCACCATCTTTAACGTTCTTCGCAGCGTTCGTCACAACACCGCATCTCACGTCTGTCCTCCTCCCCCTGCAGAGTCCTTTCCAGAAGGGCTGCCTGCTGGCCTTTAAGGCTCTTCACAACGTCTGGTTCTTTCCCTTTTGGGCACATGCCAGGAATCCACTTCCCTACCCAGAGAGCGCATTCCTCCCCGGCCTCACGGTTGGCCACAGCCAATGAAAGGTGAGGAGGTAACACATGTCCCTTCAGCTTGCAGAGCCAGAGCACACTTTGCTACCCTCTGTTTCCCCCTGCCACGTGAACGGCGATGTTCCAGGAGGTGAGCACTCCCTCCACCAGCCTGGGTTCCCAAGTGGCAACAGTGCCAGGCAGAACCCACAGCTGAAACTCAATGAATGCATAGAGTGAAGAGGCATAAATCCTGTTGTTTTAAACACCAGGAGTTCAGGGGCTATTTGTTACTGCAGCACATCAGAGCTCATCCTGACTGCACCAAGCCGCACTTCTTGTATCATGATCACTGCCGGAGCCCAGCGCCGTAGTACACGGGGCTGTACGCAGAAGTGTCTAAAGATGGTCAACAAATTTAAGGCATTCTCATCCCAAGGTAATGAACACATAACTAAGTCTTACAAGTGACAAACAATTCTCTCCACGATATACTTCAAGCCTAAGAGCAGAATTTCGCAGAAAATCATCTGTGCCCGTGTTTACCACCATCTTGCTAGATTTTACTCCTAAGTAAGTAATAATCCAGACATGACATTTTCTCCAGAGCAAGTCATTCACTTTTACTCACTCAAATAATCATGTTTTTAAAAGAAGGAAAAAAATGAGTGTTATCTGAAACAGAGGTGTGCCAGCTCTAAATCAGAGGCCATATGTGTAATTTGTAGCTTAGAAGTGACTTTGCATCATTAGTAGATTATTAATCTACTCAATTAACTTGTAAGTCAGTGTAAGTTGACTGCCCTTCGATGGACTGCGAGCCCCACGACCCATCCCTGTGGGGTTTCCCCTCTGAGCGGCAGGTGCCTTCTCCGTACCTGACACCCAAAATACTCAAAGATAATTTCCTAATGGTTCCTTTGAAAACGATCACAGCCATGCTGCAAAGACTTCAGGTGCAAACGGTCCCTTAAGGATCTGCCCTTAAATGAAACGGGGAGGAACTGGGACACAGAAGTGACAACTGTTGTTCCTTGATATGAAAAGGAACTGTCACCCCGTACATAAATACTTTAGCTTAGTCTTGAGATAAAAATGGCTTGTTTTGATAAGTTGGTCCCAGGAGCAAGAAGATCTGAAAATAAAAAAAAAAGACTTTCTTCCAATGAGGACAAAATGAAGAAAAGTCTTAAGATGAGTCCATATGACTCCTAGCAAAGACGACTGTATTGGGTAAAAGCTTGGGACAGGCATCTGCAAACAAAAAGGTTTGCTTTTAGGAAAATCTGAGCACTTTTGGGGTTTTCGGGGGGGTGTTTTTTTAATTAACAATTCTCTAAACCTCAGCTCAGATTTGGCCCTGGAGATGGCGAGGCCAGTCTGGCGCCCCAGCCCCACATCAACGCTCACACATTTGGCTGCGTCCCGAGCACCCCCAGTGAGGCACACCCACCCCGACAGAGGGGTGGACGGCAGAGGTACGGGGCGGACGGCACGGCTCTCAAGACACACAGACGTGGCAGGCCCTCCTGACTGGCAGGGCAGTAAATTGTCCTTTACTGCTGTTTTCTTCAGAAACAGTTCCAATACAGTACAGCTCCAGTCCAGGAATAGAAATGTCTGGTAATTGAGGACAAGGTTGGTGGCCTCGCCCGGGGCCTGCTGGGACAGACCCGTTTGAGCTCTGCCTGTGTTCCATCACCTGGGCAGTCGAGGCCGGGGCCAGGAGTGCCACAACTCAGCACACAGGCCTTCTTTTGTCTACAGGCAGGTGGGCCCTGGGAATTCACACAGTGGCACGTGTGGACAGAACCCCGGGTGGGGAGGGCAGGAAGAGTCTGGGGCACGGCCAGAGCATCGGAGCTGGTGGGCACCCTCTCTAACACCCAGGGGGGGCTTTCTCCAGACAAGCTGAGACGCTGCTGGTGTCCCTCAGGCCCACCCCCGCCCCACCTGTGCCCGAGTCCCCGCCAGAGTTCGATGGGCTTTTCTCCCTCCTTCAACAGCAAATGCAGGCAAGCCCCTCCCGGAGGCCCGGCAGCAGCTGGTGTCGGCGCCCCGCAGCCTGGCCGGCCCCTCCCGGCACCAGGTGAGGCTAAGGCACACCTGGGGCACCCTCAGTGGGACCTGTACTGCTCACAAGGAAGGAAACTGCATTCACTTCATCTGCATCTCAATCTGCTCAGGACAATATGTGCATTTTTTATAAAGTTTCCCTGAATGATCCTATGTGTCAAAAAAGTTTTCTTCCCCCATATAAAACAGGAAAACTACACACATAGTAAAAATAATGGCGGGGGGGACTGTGAAAACTGCATGTCCTGCACAGATTCGCTCAGCACCTTCCAGGCTGGCCCACCCGACCAGCCCCCACCAGGGGCTGCAGTGGGTGTTGGGCTGGGACACACAGAACCGTCTGGAAAATAAAGCAGAAATGATGAAGCAGGCCGCAAAGGGAGGTTCACGATCCTAATGGGGGAGGCTTTTTTCCCCAAAACTCCTAATCTCATCAGTACTAAAGGCGGAGAACACAAGCCAGCGCGACCACTGGGGTGCCCGGCCTGGCTCCCGCGCCCGCGCAACACCCCCACGCCCGGCCGCCAGGCTCCCCCAGCCCAGCGCCGCCCTTCGGGTTTTAGTTTTGGGTTCGTCTCTTTGAGCAGCCACTTCGACTTTTCCTGTGTGTCATTCTGAATCATGAAGATTAAAAATAATTTTGAGCGGCCATTTGAATCTCAAAGACACAATGGACTCCTTGAAGACTTGGAGATGAAACCAGCCCTTGACAGTCCCTTCATCACCCACCGCGGGTCCGCGCGTCCCGAGAGCAAGGGGTCCTCCTCACACGTCTCCCTCCTTGCTTCGCTCCATGTGCCCGGCATATATATCTGCGCTGTCACTCAGGAAACCTAGCTGGTCTATTAGACACTTCATGAACGTTGCTGACCAGGGAAACTTACTGCTTCGCCCCAGGCTCTTCCTGCCCGTCGGGGTTCTGTCTCCACCCCAGTCGTCCTTCCCGCCTCTGCCTCTTGTCTGACGGCCAAGCAGCGTTCTCAGGTTGCAAAACACTCACTCCCCAGGCTGGAGTGTGAACTCAGTAATTAAAAGGGGAATGCTTCAGAGAAAAGCATGTTCTGGGCGGTCACAGACAGGAGCTGACGATGCAACAGATCAGACCGTGAGCCTCTCTGCTTTTCCATTTTCCGTCTTTACAAAGGGACACGTCAGAGCCTCCACGGTGACACAGCCACGTCTGGTCCGTTCTCATTCTCTAAACCCAAAGCTGTTTCGTTTTGTTATTTCTCTGTATAAACCTATCGATGTTAAAAACGTTACTTTAAGAAAACAAATGAGCTCTTCTAAAAAGAACTAAGCACCAAGCCCAGATAAGCATAAAACTGGACTTCCGGGGGCTTTTCATGGGCAGGGTGACACATCCTCCCTTAATTTCACTCGTCAAAATAAAACCAAAACTAACACCAAAAACCTTGGGCTGCAGTTTGCTTTGACTTTACAAAGAGCTGAGTGCTTTATTTATATAGTAATTAGGTTTGAGTTTACTAGAATTACGTAGATCCAGCTACTCATAGATGAATATATATATATACAATTACTAAATTATAACATACTGACCAGAAAAAAAAATATATATATATATATACACACACACACATGCTTTACCACTCAGAAAACCTAGTTGGTCTATTTGTCACTTTATGAATGTTGCTGACCAGGGAAGCTGGGGACAAAACAGCAGGAAGGAACTGATTTTACTGAGGTCACCTCCCTGCCAGGCACCATGCTCAGGATTTCCTACAGCTTAGCTCATTTGAATCTTGCAACATCCTTATGACCATGATACCAGAACGCCCACCACGCAGAGACCTGAATCAGAGAATTTTCAGGTTGGGAAGTTAATCAGCAAAGGTAGAATCTTACCTTGCCGCCGAATGACCAC